ATTATCCAAAAGACAATAAATAACAAGTGTCGGTAAGGATGTGGTGAAATAGGAACCCTCCTACACTGTTGGTTGGAATATAAATTGATACAACCACTGTGGAAAGCAGAATGGAGGTTCCTCAAAAAAACTAAAAACATAAATACCATTTGATCCAGTAATTTCATTTCTAGGAATTTATCCAAAAGAAATAAAATCCCTGATTTGAAAAAGTATGTGCATCCCTATGTTTATGGCTGCATTATATACAGTAGCGAAGAGATGGAAGCAACCAAAGTGCCCATCAGTAGATGAATGGATAAAGATGATGTAATAATACATGTACACAATGGAATATTATTCATCCATAAAAAGAAAATAAATCCTGCCAGTTGCAACAACATGGATGGAACTAGAGGGTATTATGCTCAGTGAAAGAATCCATACAGAGAAAGACAAATACCATATTATTTCCCTTATTTGTGGAATAAAAAACAAAGCAAAATAGAATGAACAAAACAGCAGTAGACTTATAGACACCAAGAAGTGACTGGAGGAGTTTGGGGCGGGTGGGTTAATTAGGTGAAGGAGATAAAGAGGCACAAAATCTCAATCATAATATGTTGATCATGGGGCTGAAAATATAGAATAGAGATATAGTCAATAGCTCTGTAGCATCTTTCTATGTTTACAGTAACCACTGGTTGGGATGAGGATTAAACAATACATATGATTGTCAAATCACTATGCTGTATGCTTGAAACTAATATAATATTGTATAGCAACTGTGCTTAGATAAAAAATTAAAAAAGAAATATATGATATTTTAGAGTAGTGTTAGGCTTATAGGAAAACTGAGAAAAGACACAGATATTTCATGTATTCCCCCTGTCCCCACACATGCATCACTTCCCCCATCATCACCCTCTCCCCAACCAATGTGGTACATTTGTCACTTGATGAATCTGTAGTGAGGCATCATCATCACCCAAAGACCATAGTTACCTTAGTGGTCACTCTTTTTCTTGTACATTCTGTGGGTTTGGAGAAATGTACAGTGGCATACATCCATCATTATAGCATCATGCAGAGCATTTTCACTGGCCATCGATCCTCTGTGCAACACCTATTCATCCCTTCTATCCCCCACAAACTCCTGACATCCACGGATCTGTTTATTGTCTCTATAGCTTTGCCTTTTCCAGAATGTCTTATCTCTGGAATCATACAGTATGTAGCCTTTCAGATTTGCTCATTTCACTTAGTAATAGGCTTTTATCTTTCCTCCATGTCTTTTCCTGGATTGATATCTCATTTCTTTTCAGTGCTGAATAACATTCCTTTGTAGGATGTACCACTGTTTATTTATCTATTCACCTACTGAAAGACATCTTGGTTGCTTCCCAGTTTTGACAGTGATGAATGAAGATGCTATAAACATCTGTGTGCAGGTTGTTTGCGGGCACAGGTTTCTAACCCCTTTGGGTAAAAACTGAGGAGTACTTTAGCTGTAGTGTGAAATATTGATGAGTAAATTTCAGTATAATCATACAATGAAAATAAAGTAGTTAAAATAAGTAAATACAGACTAGATGTTATGCATCTATGCATAACTGAATTTTAAAAACATGGTTGAGAGAAATGTAGGTTTATAGTATCTTTTATCTACATGTGTTGTAATATAGCAAAACATGTCTACATAAATTAGCAGTATGAAGTATTATTTTGCCTTTTTTATTCTTTATATGATGGTCTGATGAATCATACTATACTACAATGACAATTTTATAGTTAACCCTAGCACACGCAGTCACCATTAATAAAAAATAATCATTACTCTTTAGAAGGTGGCTTAATAAAGAAATATTTAGCTGGCAGAACCTTTATAGAGTTTAATAGAAATCTGGCAATGTCTACTTTTTAACCTGACTGTAGAAAACATTCATTTACAGTAATTTATCCCAGTTTAGACTTTGCTTCAATGTGGATCAACTGGAGATATTACTGAGGTGCTTATATTCAGGGACTTATCTCCTCTGATATTTTAAGTAGGTCAAAACTAGACCCTTTACCTGAAATGGATCAGCAATATGTGGGAACTTCTCAGAAATGGAGAATCTCATGCTCCACTCTATAGCTACCAACACAAAACCTGCATGTACAAAAGACACACAGGTGATTGATATGCATATTAAAGTTTGAGAAAAATGAAAAACTATCTAGACTTTGAGATGCAATTGTAAGGTAACACACAGTTTTCTATGTTTTCAATACTTCTAATAAACAAATGGAAGAAGATTGCCTGTGGTTCACTTCTTCCAGCCCCTAGGCAAGATATTGTCTCAGGCTCTGCAGGTTGTGCAGCCATAAAGGAGACTGCCCAAAGAAGGGAGTTGGTCACCCAGCCTATGCCCTGGGAGCAGACTTGTGCACCCTGATGCGTGTGTGGCTCCCTCCTGTGAAGGGGAGCATAAGGGCACTTCTGATCTGGACTGGCAGATGAGGGTCTGCTTTGTGACTGTGATTTACACAAAGGGCTTCAGAGACCAGCCTTGGTCCTGGCACCAGAGCCTTAAACTAAGCAAGTCTTGATCTCACCGGCCATAGAGCCTGACTTTCACTTCCCTTGCATGGCTAAAGATGGACTAGTGAGTCTCGTTTTTGGTGCTGTTGTGGAATTGGGCACAATGGCACTGGTAGATGGGATTATGCCCTTGCGGAGTGGGGCTTATTTATAGGATGATTCCAGGCCACTTTGGAAATTAACTGGAGAGTATCATGCCTCATTTCAGACATTGTCCATACTATCTTATTTCTATCAGACTCACACACACTATTATCTCTGCATGGTTAGTGTTCATTCTAATACATACAGGGAGAAAAGCCTTTAATATCCACAAAGCACTTAAATATGAATTTTTGTTTCATTAAGTTTTCCCAGGAAATGTGTCCAGGGCTCACCAGAATCCTGCGTCAGTACATTTATCCTTTTGCATTGAGTGCTCCTGGGTGGTTCTAACACAAAAAAGGAATATATCAAATTATATGAACCTGAAACAACCCCAAAAGTAATCAGTTGGAGAAAATCTTTTTTCATGAGGTTGTGTTCAAGCATTAGGTTTGCTGAGAAGGTTTATGACAAGCCCACTTGAGGAAGAATCTCAAACCCAGGGTCCTATGTATGGACACAATTACTGTGGATAAGAGAGGGAAAGGTGTTCTGGTCACTCTTTGGGTGATGGGAAGAGGATGAGGAAGGAAGATAAGGAGGCAGCATCAGGGATATTGTGAGAAATGATGGGTGTGCATGGTGCCCTTCCCACAACTCTCCCCCACCCCAGCCTGAAGCCAGGTGAATAAACCTGGCTAGAGTGAGTTTGGATCAGAACAAGACAGCAGGGAGGAGAGAGGCGCACATGGACACATCTGTACAGGGTGTGTGTGAGTAAAGAGAGAGAGGGTTGGGGACTTAGACATTTAATCACCATGAAAGTGGGGGTTGGAGACAAATTTACCTAAGTCAGCAAGACCTGGAAACTGACCAGTGGACATCTGGGTTATATATGTTTTTCCTTCAACAATGCTTAAGAATGCTTAAGAATTTCCATTCAAAACACACAGGAACATGGATACAATATAGCCTAGTCCAAATGACTTACGCAGGTTAGGGTAAGACTGTATTTTCTATTTGTTTCATTGAACTATTCCACGGAGACGTATTTGTCTCTCAAACTGACTTAACACTATTAACCTCCTGCAATTCTATATGACTATATGACCTACACACATATGGATTCTAGCTCTTGAGAGGCTGTCTCTGACCAGAGCTCACAGTCCTCAACAGTTTTCTTAGGGCCTCCTTCATCTCCTTGTTCCGGAGGCTGTAAATCAAGGGATTGAAAAGTGGAGTCATCATGGAATAAAACAGAGTCACAGTTCTCTGGATCCCTGCTGGGTTGCCTGCTGTTGGGCTCACATACATCACCATGATGGAGCCGTAGAACAGAGACACCACAGCCAGGTGGGAGCCACATGTAGAAAAGGCTTTACGCCGGCCTTCTGCTGAGGGGACTCTCAGAACAGCCCTGATCACCAGGGCGTAGGAGCTGCTAATGAAGAGGAAGGTGGAGAAAATCAGGACTGAGTTGATGATGGCACAGGTGATCTCAGTGGCAGGAGCTGGCACACAGGACAATTCGAGAAGGGGTCCTGGGTCACATAAAAAGTGATCAATAGTATTGGGGCCACAGAAAGGAAGCTGGGAGATGAGGTAAACTGGGAGGAGAAAACAGGAGAAGCCACACACCCAGCAGCAGGCTCCCATTCTGATGCAGCACTGAACTGTCATGACAGTGGGGTAGTGAAGGGGCCTGCAGATAGCAAAATATCTGTCAAAGGCCATGGTGGACAAGAAGAAGGTCTCAGTGGTGCCCATGGAGAAGAAGAAGTAAAACTGGAGGAAGCAACCAGAGAACGAGATGGTCTTGGTCCCAGAGAGAAAGTTGGCCAGCATGTTGGGGACTGTAGAAGTGACATAGCAGATCTCCAGGAAGGAGAAATTGGCCAGCAGGATATACATGGGGGTGTGGAGGTGGTCATCCCAACTCACTGCACAGATAATGCTCAGGTTTCCGGTTAGTGTCAGGACATAGATCACAGAGAAGAGTGAGAAGAGGAGGGCCTGAGTCTCCCAGGAACAGGGGAATCCAAGGAGGATGAATTCACTCACAGGGTCAGAGTGATTATTCCCTCCTGATGTTTTCATTTTTCTCCTAAAATTGCAATAACAAGACATCACCGTGTTACAAAGGACTCTGAATTTCTCTACAGTTCAACTAACAACATAGTTTTAGATCATGGAATGATTCTCAGCATTCTTAGCTCCAGTCTGATCCTGGGAGGAAGTCAGGGACTTGGGCGGTGTGGGGCTCCTTACACCTTTATTGTTACAATCACACCCATCATGGCTCATCTCACAAGTGTCTTTGTTTCCTCAGCACTACATAAAACAACATAGCTGCTCTCTTGCCATTTAGAGGCTTTTAACCTACGTCAGGAACATGAACCTGGGCCAACCTATATAAGGGACATATAGAGGTTTAATCAACTGCAGTTCAAGCTCTGTATAAATAGAAGACTTTTCAAGAATGTATAACCACAAAGCAAGAGTTTTACTACTGTAATCTTTAGTAATACCACATGGTTAGTTTTACATGTGGTTTCTTTCCACATAGTATTGTGAATATTGTGAAAGAGATAAAGAAAACAACATTTCATCAATGAATCCTACAGTACCCTGTTTCCCAATTCTGCTTTAGTTTTCTGCAAAGGACAGATGGCTACCTGGCATTGTTATATATTTACTATGTATTTTCTGCCCCATCCACCTGACCATGAGAGGAGGGTATTATTTTGCTCACTGACATCTTCTCAGAATCTAGGACACCTATTATAGGTGCTCATTTAAATATTTGTTGTCTCAGTCAACGAACATGCCCTAAAAGTAACCAGTTAGAAAAACAACTGATTATAGTCTAGGAGAAAAGTTTTTTAAAAATTCAAAGACCAAAATCTTCAGTTTGCTAAAAACAAAAGCAAGGTAACAAGGACTTTCTTTGTTAAGGGCTATACCCTGAGTCCAAGTAAACAGGAGATGTGTCATAGGAGCCTATTCAAGACAGTCCCATCCAAGCTACGTCTCTTTCTGAAGCACTTCATCTTTCTTCATGCTCCCCCTCATCCCATCATCCACTAATCCACTCTACTTTGTGCTTGCTTATTGTTGCTAAGTTATAATCATGATCTATAGGGTGTGTGTGTGTGTGTACACGTGCAATGTTCTTTGCTCTCTTCTTTCTCAAATTGTTTCTGTATCTAATTGTCCATATCTTTAGTTTTATTGAGTGGCTTTTATAAGCATTTCCCCTTATTTTTAAGTAGATAAGTGAACTGATTTAGTTTTCCTCCTCTTAAAGAAAATTTATCTATAGTCTGTGACTGATATATTTTCCCTATGTTACCAGCCAATGTGTTTCAATAGAAAAATCTTTTACTACCTGTTTTTTCTTTCGCCCCATTTTCAGGGTCAGGAAATCTGGTATCTGTGACTTGAATAAGTAATAAGGTATAGAATAAAGTTGTCATTACACAGTTTATTCCTGGCCTATGTGATTTGTAGTTATTTTACACAAGTTTTCTGGGAATATGTGATTTTATTTTTCTTTAGAAAAAATTCTTAGAAATAGACTGTATATTTGTGTATTTTTAGGATGTTTGCTACATGTTTGCCTGATAATTTTGTAGCAGGGTACTGAAATTGATTAAGGATAACTGGAAGACAGTAGCATTGAGAGCCTGGGCTCAATGAAACTGACTCAGAGGAACAGGGTCCAGATCCAAACTTTATGATATACTAGCTGTGCCAGGTGATCAGTCACTAAACTTTATGTGCTTAGATTCCCTATGTGTAATATAGGATCAAAAGTATTATTCTCACCTGTCTAATATTGTTATTGTGAGAGCCTCATAAATTAGGGAACCTCTTGGAATTTCTGGACCTTTGGTGAATTGCAAACATGGTTTCAGTCTAGCTTCAGAGCACTGACAAATAGCTAATTGATTCTTGCCCCATTCTGCTAAGGTAAAGTAGATTTTTACCAAAGAAATAAATGCATTGTTTTCATCAGAATGAATTTATTATGAAAAATGCTCCAAGAACAGTGAATGAATGCTCCATGAAAAATGGTCAAGAAAAGGTTTTTGTGTGTTCTTTTTTTAGGGGTTGCCTGTGTTGAAAGGACTAGCAGTATCAAACTGTTTTCTGAATGAACACCTTACTTCTAAATGCTTTCTAACATGTTACCTCATTAGGATTTGGTTTCTTTATTTATTGTTTTTAGTGTGGACAGTGGGCTTAAACTAAGTATTGCCTACAGACTGCCTGTGTGAGCCTGCCCTCCAGTGATGTGATGGTATCCAGGTCCCCGCAAGGAGCTATCCCTAATCCTCTCTTTCTTGCCCAGCTTTCCTTAGCTGTTTCTGAAGTTGCTCAGGGAAGGCATCCCACAAGACCCTCCTTTGCGACAAATCGGAGCAGTACTCCTGCAGCCACCAGGCCAGGTGGTGGTAGCTCTGTAGCTGTGGTTCTTCAGTAGGTCCCAGAGGCAGCAGCAGGAAGTGAGCAGTACCAGGCTTGGCCACCAGGTGGCAGGTGGCAGGCCTTCACACCAGACTGTGCCAGGGGCTTCCTAGGGCCTGGCAGCTGAGCACATGCAGGCAGGCTCTACAGCTCTTCCATGCTGGTGGCCATAGCATCCCTCCTATCCTGTGTGACTCCAGAGTCCCTGTCAGGCAGACAGAGCCTTAAACCTTACTGGCTGGAAGAGGCTTCTCCTGGACAGAAGGCAGTTCTTCCAGCACCCAGGCCTTGTCCTGTCCACAATACGATACACAGACATCAGAGTGGACTTGGTTTGTGGGGCTCCACCTACCCAGTCTCCACCACCAGGCATGAAACATGGTCTGGAGGTGCTGAAGCCAGGGCCGTTACGGCAGCCGAGTAATGCAAAGAAGATCAGCAGGAGCACAAGTGAGGCTGGTCAGAAAGGCCAGACTCTCAGGATGGTGTGGGCAGGAACCAGGAAAGAAGGAGAGCGCTGGCGTCTGAGCAGCAGGAGGGTTTCTCTAGCCCACACCCGAAGGCATCGGGCTGGTAGGTGCCCGAGGCCCCACCTGAGGGCTCTCATACTAGCAAGTGAAAGTGATAGCCAAGAAATAAACATTTTGAGGCATCTGTTGGATGAGTTCGTTAGGCTGCTGTCCAGCTCCAGGCTCCCTACTCCGGGCTCAGCAGTAGCAGCTGAAAGAAGCATAAGGCTCTGAAGCTGGAGACAAGACTTCTGAGGCTCAGGCTGCTGCTCCGTGGTAGCGCCTTTAATGGCAGCAGCTCCTTCAGTAGCACCTCCAGGTTCACTGAGCTTGGCCCCAGAGGAAATCTGTCTCCCTGCTTCCGCATTTGCAGCCTCGGAGTTCCAAATAGGTGCAGATCCTGGCAGGCTCAGGCCAGAAGCGCGAGTGTCCTGGGATGGGAGGCTGTGGGAAGAATCTCTCTGTTCTATGCACCAATTCTGGGCTCCTGGATAGATCTTGGAGTTTCCTTTTTGTTTTTATCACTCAAGTGGGTAAAATATGGAGTAATTGAATTATTTAATCAAAAGTAATTATTCCTCCCAGTTCTTTAATTCTGGATTCTTTGCTTGCTTTTGAGATAGCTGGGTGATCATTTTAAAAAGAAATGGCACTGTTTATACTAAGATGATTTAAAACATGTACCTTGATAGATAAATGGTGTATCCTTTTGAAAGAAGACGTTTGAAATAGGTGTTAAAACAGAAGTAAATAAAGGGTAGGCATTCAAAGCAAAATAACCCAGCCCCTTTTAATGAAAACTGATCTTTGTATTAGTGGTAGGTAAGGGGCTTAGGTGAGAGATAGAAACATGTAGTTGGGAGGTCCCTGGGGAAATTTTTCCTGTGTGAGAAGACTCATTCCACTGCATGATATGTCTCTCTTTCCACTTTTCTGTCTGTTCTGAGCATCTAGAACAAAAACTGCAAAGGCAGAGAAAAAGCAGATTCTGAGTGACAACAGAAGCACTAGGGAGCCAAATTACTCCTCTCACAAAGTGATCCCCACGGAAAAGTCTTTGAGAAGCTCTGGAAAGCATGTTATAAGACTTACCAAAGACAGTAATTATCCCTTTCTAATGCATAAAATAGAAGGAAAGCTTAGATAAGTAAAATGTCTAAAAGTGTTGCTCCAAATTATATATCCCTTTCTGAGCACTAGTTTTTAAACTCCTCATCCTTTATACAATAGATGGAGTATACATGTTCGTCATAGGAAAATTAGGAAATGAACAGATACTAACATAAAGGAAGAAAAAAGAGTCTAAGTTGCCCATAATACCATCATTTTATATTTAATAAGCTTATATAGTAATGTTTCATGATCTACCTTTATCACTATGTAATGTAATATTTTATCTATTAAATATTTATTACACAAATCTTTATGTAATTTGTATAGCTTCTGTCTTATAACAACTGAAAAGAAATCCCTTATAAGTGTATCTTCTATATGCACATCTCCTCTACAATATTTCTGAGATAAATCCAGATTTTTAGCCTGCAATGCTATGTAGTTCTGAAGGTGGCTAATAGGACGTAGTCATAGTTTCCAGGAGAGAAGGCACCGAAGAATTCTTACTGATACTGAAGTCAGCAGAACTGGTTCCTTCACTGCTTGTGTGATGTTGGGCAACATACTTGGTTTCCTTGGGTCTCATCTATGAAATGAATAGGACACTGTCTATCCTAACTATGTCACAGAATTTGTGAGGATGAACAGAGAGTATGTCAAAGCATTTTATAAATGATAAAGAGCTTACAATTGAAAGATGTTAATAATAGTAACTGAAATCAATTACATACATATAATATATAAGATCCTATTCTGATTAACCTCATTCACTCTAACAAAAGTATTATCATTAGGTCTATTTTATAGGTTAAAAATGTCAAGAAAGAAAGACCAAATAGTTTGCATAAGTTCACATAGTTAGTAATGTACTTAAATTGGAAACTAATCTATCTGATCCCAGATTGTTGGCCCTTCTCCTCTAGAGTAGTAGAAAAGTGTGGGTCCCATAGTTAGGCTGTGTGGGATCAAATATCATCTCAAAGAAAGTATGTTACTCATTGTGCC